CATGAGGCGTTATAATTCTTCTAAACGAAGACCTCCTGACTCCCAGGGCAGAGTTTAAATGGTTTGAATAATTTTTTCTGGTTAGCGTTTTTTTAGCGAGTTAGTTTTCTACGGGATGGGATCGCTAACCCCATGCCCAACCCTCCTCCTTTATCTGGGCTTGGGACCGGCAGTAGCCCCCGGAAAAGGGCTACAGGCGGAGTTGCTTGCGCCGCACTGGACGCAAAAAGGGCACACAAAAAAGACCCATTAGAATTGAACTGAGTAACGAGAAAACCAAAAGTAGGTTCCAGGAACAACTGAGGCCACACTTAGGTAGTTCTGAAAACGAGACTGACCCAGATGTTGCTTGGAAAGATATACAATCAGCTGTGGAAAGAGCAGTGACATCTACTAGTGATTTAAACTAAAGGGTTACAAAGAACCAATGGATTTCTTCAAGGTCTATTGCACTGATGGATTCTCGCAAACTCATCCCATCAGGTTCTGAACACGATGAAGAGCGTAAAGGAATCAGATCTAGGTTAAGCAAAAGTCTAAGGAACGATCGTGAGCAGTGGTGGGCAACGAAAGCAAAAGAGATAGAAAAGGCGGCGGTTATAGGGAACACAAGACAACTCTACAGACTAATAAAAGAAACTGGAATTAATAAATCAAGTGTAAGTCAGACCATTTCGGAAAAAGACGACACTCTCATCTGCTCCCAGTCCAGACGCTTAGAACGATGGGCGGAACACTTTAAGGAGCAGTTTAGCTGGCCTTCAGCTACTCTACAACTACCCTCTATTCCCAGACAGTGTGAATGGAACATTGAAGTAGGTCCCCCAACTCTAGCTGAAGTTCAAAAGGCTATTGCTAATCTGAAACGAGGAAGGGCAGCTGGTCCAGATGGATTGGCCCCAGAGGTCTTTAAGGATGGTGGTCTAGTTTTAGCGATTAGGTTGACTAATATTTTAGCTAAAATCTGGGAGTTAGACGTTATCCCATCTAACTGGTCACAATCACTTATCGTCCCAATATTTAAGAAAAGGTCAAAATCATCCCGTGACAACCATAGAGGGAATAGTTTAACTAATATAGTATCTAAAATACTAGCCTCGATAATTTTCGGACGCCTAACTAAGACTCGTGAACTGCAAACACGAGAAAATCAGGCTGGCTTCAGACCTGGTCGTGGCTGCATCGACCACATATTCACCATTCGTCAGGTTCTAGAACACAGGCATACTTATCGGCGTCTGACAATGGTGGCATTTCTTGTCCACCAAGAGTTTCTGTCATCGAAAGGCGTACCTCAGAAGCACATAAACCTTGTGAAGGCTCTTTACTCGAACACTACTAGTCGAGTGAGAGTTTATGGCAAACTGTCATCTGCTTTCGCAACCTCAAGTGGCGTCCGCCAAGGCTGTCCACTTTCTCCATTTTTGTTCAACTTCATCATAGATCTACTGATGGAAATAACGCTCTCATCGACTGACTTCTCAGGTATTGATCTCCTACCAGGAGTTTCACTTATTAACTTAGAATGCGCAGATGACATAGTCCTATTTGGTGAAGATACTGATGAATTGCAGAGTCTTTTGATAGCACTGAGCAACAATGCCAGAATGTTTGGGATGCGCTTCTCTCCCTCTAAATGCAAGTTGCTGCTTCAGGACTGGTCTGCAGTCAGTCAGTCAGAAACAACGTTGAACTTTGTACGTACGTACATCCGTTTGAATTTCCATACCACATTAGCACAGAGATTCAGTTATCGATTCAAATCCCGTAGTGTTAGAGGCAGTGAAATTATAAGTAGTGACAGGGAACATTAAGGTTCGATATTGTTATTTAAGGAGTATAGTCCAGTGGAATATATTTGGAAGGAAAATAAAGGACATGGAGAATTCAGAAGATTAAAGTTTGAGAGAACACAGAGAGTGGATGCACCTGCGCCATTGCAAACGATTTTGAGCCATGTCATTCAAGGTCTCTAACCATCGGTTGCTATCATCTCGCGGTCCCCAACCAGGTAGTCTACACCTACCAACATGACTCAGTCCACTTGTCAGTGACTTCATGGATTTGTGCCATGTTTTGGTCTGGCCGCCCCTAGCTTTCTTGCAACCTACTCCTACACCAGAAAACATAGCACGTCGGGGCAGTCGATGGTCGGGCATGCGCAGCACATGTCCCAGCCATCTCAACTGATTAAGTTTCACTACTTCCTCAATTGATTTGCCATCCTTACCTAGTACCCGTTTCATAACAGCTGCATTACTTACTCAGTGGTCCCAGGATATACGAGCGATGTTTCGAAGACACCTATGGTCAAATACTAGTAACCTACGAATATCCTCTACTCTTACTGGCCATGTTTAACTGCCATAAAGTAGGACGGAACGAACTGCTGCGCATTAAACTCGTCCTTTGGTTGATAGACGGATATCTCGCCTACGCCACAAATGACGCAAATTGGCAAAAGCTAGTCGAGCCTTTTGTATCCGTGCTGAGATTTCGTCACACACCAAACCACAAGGGCTGATGAGACTCCCAAGATAAGTGAAGCGGTCGACATATGCAACCCAATCCTGAAGCAACATTTTGCATTTCGAGGGAGAAAATCGCATCCCGAACATGCTTGCATTGTTGCTTAGAGTGGTCAGCAGACTCTGCATTTTGTCAGCGTCTTCACCAAATAGAACTATGTCATCGGCATATTCTAAGTCAACAAGTGAATCTCCCGGTAAAAGTTCAGGATAGGGAGTGAAGTAGTCGAACGCGTTTACAACTTCACTAATCTTGGAAGTCTGATCAGCCCTAATGGGTTGGTGTCTGATAAAATCTCAGCACGGATTGAAAAAGCTCGTTTGGCCTTTGCCAACTTACGTCACCTATGTCGGAGGTGAGATATCCGTCTATCAATTAAGGGACGAGTATACTGCGCGGCAGTTTGTTCCGTTCTACTATACGGCTGTGAAACATGGCCATTAAGAGTAGAAGATATTCGTAAGTTACTAGTGTTTGACGACAGATGTCTTAGAAATATTGCTCGCATCTGCTGGGATCACCGGGTAAGTAATAGTGAGGTTAGACGCAGGGTATTAGGGAATGATGGTAAATCAGTTGATGAGGTTATCAATCTTCATCGACTGAGATGGTTAGGCCACGTTTTGCGTATGCCTGAACACCGATTACCACAACGCGCAATGGTAACCGGTGTTAGGAATGATTGGAAGAAAGTTAGGGGCGGCCAAACCAAAACGTGGCATCAGTACTTGAAGTCACTAACTTCTGGTCTGAGCCATGTTGGGAGATTCAGACTGCCTGGTTGGGGTCCGCGTGACTATCGTATCCAATGGTTGGAGACTCTTGGTGACATGGCTCAGAATCGATCACAATGGCGTCGGTGTGTACACTCTCTGTCTTCCTTAAATTAAGAGATTAAAATCGCTTCATATCTGTCTAGGAACTAATTCTTTCTTCCTTTACTATCTCCTTATACACAATCTTTCTTCTGTATATTACCACCACTGAATTAACTACTCCTATGAATCCGGTGTTCATCTTGTTGTGCTAATGCGGTATGGCAACTTGGACCGATGCATATACGTGCCTGGTCCTACGTTGCAGCTGACTGACTGATTGTCGTGAAATAACTTATTTTATTTGGTCTTTAATGTTGAGTGAATGATTGCCGTGGTACGGCCGAGAGTGGGGAGAGTCTGCTCTCCCTCTCGAAATGCTCTCACATGGACACGCGTATATAGCCTCTGCCAGGGAAGTCATACTCACTGCCTTCTCGTAGTGGGGGTGTTGTTTACGAAAATGAGAGGACGAAAAGCGAATGTCCGGCGCTTTAACCGGATCCTAAACCAATGGTACACATGGGTTCCAGTATCCTGAAGGAACAAATGGCGTATGAACCAATCGTTGGTCACCGGCTACCATGGGACTGCATCTCCTCACGATGCTCCGCTGCCTTGTGGGTCAGATCTTCAGGTCGAAGGCTCGGAGTGTGGCCCCCTAAGAAAACCACCTGCCTCGGTTTGGGCACCCGGGCAGTATCACAGCCCTCACACATATCAAATGAGATCTGTGTGGAGCATATGTATTTGGTGCCTCCTTGTACCAATATCTATGTGTTAAAATAAATAACATTGGATCTACCAGTTAACGTGTGTGTATGATCTATGAATAATAGAATAGTCTAACTATACAGTCAAGAGTTGTGAGATGTATGTGGCGGAATGGATACAAACTTACGGTTCCAAACTCAAATACGTCCAACGTATTTACAACTATTATCCTCCATTGACGAAGTGTATAACTAGAGCAGAATATAGGGTTGACCCAAGACAGGTTTCAATCGTTAAATAAAACTTTCCAATAAGTTTTTCTTCGGTTTCTAGAAGTTCTACTCATTAGAAAATTCATTCCTCTTTTATGTTTATAAACAGCAATTTGTATTCTCTTTGAACTTCCCGTGATTATCTTTAACCATTGTTTAATGCCAAGTGTGGCACCAATATTTGATATTTCTGTTTCTTATTTTTATACTGTCTTTTGCGCTCGTTTATATTTTTACCTGTCACTATTAATTGATCTGATTTTTCCTTATATTTATGTAAATTCCCTCGAAAAGTAAGTTGATGATCCTAATTTATTTGTAATGCCTCGCTCACGTATATCACATTTCCTTCAGACCAACTTTGTTTTCTCATTATACTACCTTTTTTCTATGGAAGTGTAGTCTAAATTAAATTTTCGGTCACATAATTTTCAATTATGGATCAGTATCTAACTTCAGCTTCATATCAAACGAAGTCATACAATAAACAGTGTTATTCATGTTTGCGTTTATAGTCTTTATTTTCAATCAAACTTTACTAACTTTAATCGTGAAACGAATAATTCAATGGTTAATATGATATAGTATTTTCTTTTCTGACACGCAATCAATGTATTACTATATAAAAGCATGCTGGAAATTAAATCAATTTTGTTTTTATTTTTATTAGGATGTAGCCAGCACATATGGTTGGACGACTGGAGCTGTTATACCGGAACTTGAAAGTGAACTTATTGCTGCGAATAATCATGATTTCAAAATTATTTTAAAACGTTTAAGAATGCTAGAAAAGTTGATTCAGGAAAACCAAGTAAATCTGATTTGAATAATTTTATTAACTTAATTTTGTCGACAATTATAAATTTCATCAAAGCCTCATTTTAGAAAAAGCTCTAAAGTTTTTTTATTTATTGTATTCAATATAATAAAGGTTAAACATTTTTTGAACTTCGAATTTACTCGTTTTATGGAAATAAAAACAACATTCAAGTGTGTGATGTCACCTATCAGTTACTAAAAAAGAAGTATTGTATAATTCGGTTGTTATTATTTATTAAGGAACATGAATCAAATTGTTCTGCCTTTGAGCACTTGGTGGGTGATTACTGGTTATATGATTTATAAACTAATAAGCTGAGAATGCTAGATACTTAATGAAATCGATAATTTGAGTTGAGGTTAATTATTACTTGAACTTCAAAGAAATGCTTGATTATATATGCTGCTATGTCTAATAAGTACACGGACCAAAAATTTGTTTTACAAAATTCAAAGTATGCCAATCTAATTTACTACAAATACATTTATTACAACTCCTATCTCCATAGTAACCGTTGCTGCTCCGTGAGATGGTGGTCAGGCTTGCCTATCATAATGAACCAATCGAGCTATACTGGCTGGAACAAATACGGCACTAACATGGAAACCACTCACAAAAAGGTCGTGTGTGACTGACCTCAGGCAGTTGTCCCTTGGGCACTGCAGTCACGCTGTCAGGTCACTAAGACCACCTCTAACCCAATTTCCTTTTCAGTTACCTCCAGCAGAACCCTTCCACGGTGTGGGCAACCGGGAAGTGATAACCGCCCTCATAGCTCTAACAGCACTCAAGACCACTGTATTCATAATCAACCTCCCTCTTCAATTCCTATTATTCCTCCTCCATAGCCAACGATTCTAGTGCGCAAAACACTGTCTCAGCTCTACTGAAACCTCGCTCCAAACTACACATTGGAGCCTTCAATGTACGTACACTATGTTAAATCAGTCAGCAGGCTTCCTTAGCTAAAACCCTAGAATCTCGTACGATTGATGTATGCTGTGTCTCCGAAACACGCATACAGGATCCTAGTGTGGTCATTCACTTGACCCCACCTTGGCAAAACGGAGAACCGACGAGATACACCCTCCGTGTATCTGGCGACCCGGTGGCTAGTTCTCGTGGACTGGCAGGTGTAGGCATAGTACTAAGTACGAGGGCAGAACAAGCACTATTCGAGTGGATCCCCGTTAACAGTCGTCTATGTGCTGTTTGACTAAACGGCTCCGCAAGAACTCGAAAGGATAGGGACACACGTCGTTTTCGAACAACGACGTCGAACAGGCTACTTAGATTAATTTAAACACTTCATTACCAGTTTGCAATCGAATTTCATGCGTATAATCTCATAAAGTTTTAAATAACTGAACAACTGTTAAATCGTATATCTAATAGACTTAAACTAATCAGGCTAGTTTCCAAAAAGTGAATACTCTGTTTTAGTGAATGAGGACATTTAAAGCGTCTGACAGATAACGGTTTTTATGATTCAACTTAACATGTTAATAGGTGAAAATTAAAACATTACATTAAATCTTGTTCATCCATCTTGATATTACAAGTTTTGTTTAAACAATCATGTGAGTACATTTAATTCTAAAGTCAGTACAGTTGTATATTATTTTGCATCTATTTCTCCTTTTCAGCATGTTCATACAGCTGAAGCAAAATTATTACTTGAAAAGTGGCTTGATGAAAGAAACGCTTTAAGACGTGCTAGTAAATGTGTATTTAATCCACAATTCGGAAGTATTTTTCGTTCTTTTCATAATCCGTCTTATTTTTCACAACGTCTTGGACAATATGCAACACTGTATACATCAAGAGTTACGAATCTGTTACATTTCCCACTAGATCATGCATTTTTCCCTAAAAGAACTGCTTTACCACATGAATCATTTTAATTTCTAAATTCATTTTTTTTATAGTTTATTGTTGTAGGTATTAACGCACATTTTTTTATTTTTACTACTAATGATGTTTATTAATAATAGTTTCGTTTGTATTTATTTTAGGTATTTATACCTTTTTAATGTCTTATTACTAGTCTTTTCAAGTGGAACTTTTTAGGCTTTTTATGGGACAGTTTTAAGCGGGGTTAAATCTCTCTATCAATTAAGTAGATAGTATATCACTTGGTTTAAAGCATTTGACATAGGCCCAGGTCTCGTGATAGCTTCCATTCGTTGGTAAGACACATTTATAATCTTCAGTCTGTCAGTTATAAGAAACGTAGAACCTGTTACATATGTATATCAGCCAAAGTTTCTACAACACTTCAACGTAATAAAGCGAAAACCAGGGTAAAAGAGAGGCGTTATCGGCGGTATTAGAAAACAATATGATTAGAGTGGAAAAAATTGATTTACACAATCGACAATATCAAGTGATTTTGAAACTAAAGATCTAAGAGTAAATAAACAGTCAATGCGTCCTAGAGTTTGCTACCGATGTTTACTGATATCACTCTACGCCGGACATCATTGCTCATGACAATCATAAGGACCTCGGTTAAATGTTCTACAACCACAAACATGGTTCAAACCAGGACTTAGTAACTTCATGAACAAATGCAGCCATTTACTTTGACCGCCCCTAACTTTCCTTAGACCTACAATTTTATGTAACTGACAATCCCCGTCGAGTTTGAACTAAGGGCCGAGGTAGCAGAACGTTGATTAATATGTAATGATCTGCTAATGCGAGTTTCGCAGCCTCATCGGAAAATTGTCTCAGCCTGAACAGATTGACGATGGCATCTCATTCTATTAAGATGAAAGGTGTTAACGAAAATTAAAAACAGTATTTTATTTCCCTCAAGATTGCTGACGGGCTTCAATTAGCATGAAACCTATAATCAATGCTTAATTTCCACTACATATAACCATCTAACATCAAAACGAAGTGTGATGCAATATCAAATCACTTATCCTAATAGTCCCATTGCAATCCGCCACAATCATTTGTCACATTCACCGGAAATTTTGGGTAGATTTGAATACTACTTATATTCTCGAAATATCCCACAGAGTTCTTCACTGGGAATTTTCGAATTTCAATTTGAATACATTTAGGTCGCTAGTTCGTAGCACGGTTTACAATTTAAGTCTTTCATACGTAATATGGGTTTAGCTATGTAATAAATAGTACTTTTGTCGTGCAAAGCACATAACTCTATGACAGTTCGGAGCTAAATCTCATTTCCAACACTGACTTTCAGAGAAAATGGCTTATTTGGTTTTTGCTCAATGGATGAAGTCGTTAGTCGTTGAATAGTTAAAAATTGATTGCATGGCAAGTACACGAAATTTATGATCAAGTTATCTATGAAAAAAATTAAATAGTTTTACAAATAAAAGACTATGGAATGTTGGTGTAAATCATTAGAGTAATTAGGTTAATTAGGCTCATATTGTAAGAATAGTCTGATAACACCCACACAATTAAATATGATGACCCAGATAAAGCTGTTAAATTTAATTCTCTTTCATCGTTCAGTCTGAAATATGATTAAATTGTGTTAACATATGTATTTAATGTGATATCGATACGTAAAAAGTTATTAAATGAGATATGCTATTAATTCTGGATATTTTCGATCAAACAAGAGAGAATTCTCTCGGGAAGTTGTGACGTTTTGTTTAGTTTGTATCCAGAAACACAAGCACATTATCATGCATTCTAAAATGAAGTTTATGTTTTATAGCACCTTCAATATTACGGGGAATGTCAGTTACTTAATCGTGAGACATTTTGTACAATAAAACAGTTCTCTAGGAGACTGTTAGGAAGGATCAAATGTGTAAGTTGAGGCACCGTTGAGAATAAAATAGTTAATTAGTAGGGACGGCGTGCTTAATTGGTAATCAATTAAGGAAGTGTATTCGCACCAAAAAGCAACATTGCAATTTCAAATAAAATGTTTTACAATTAGTGATGAAATATTAACAGACTTGATGAAATTCAAAAGATTGAAGCACTGACAAAGTTTAGCAACAAATTAAGTTTGGCTAATTGAAAAAAATACTAAACATAAAAAGTTTAATAATGACATAAGTCGCTTTAATAATAAATTTTGGTTTATTTTAGGTGTAATAGTGTGCAAAATTGTTATTAGTATTGTATGTATTTATCAAAGAATAAAAAATAGTGTTTAAGGTGAAGTCCATTAAAAGATTCAATATTAATTAGTGAAAATACAGTTACACATGGTGAATGGATATGAGATTATTCATGAGTGCTCAAAGCAAGTGTATATGGTATATTGTTTGTGAGAAAGTATGATGTAGTGCGAAAAATTAAAAGCTACGAAAAATCGTGGAGTGAACCAAACGTTTAGGTTGGTGAACATCTGATCTATGTGTTTACCAGCATAGTAACGTCAACCACACTTGGGTTTGTATTTGTTTAGGTTTATCAAGCCCGGTAAATAACTTGTTTAACAAGCGTCATTTTTGTCGGTATCAACTTACCGATATATTGATTTTTCTTGGGCTTGTGTGATTGTTCACGTGTTATGACCCACAGTTAAATCCTCTTACTGGTTTAAATATTAGTTACTTTAGCCGATTGATGACCATTTCTCATGTTTAAATAGATGTGCTTACTTCCTACTCACACATTCGTATTCTCATTATGTGTTTATTGGTAGTTTAATCTGTGCTATTCAACAGTAAACTATAATCTTCATTTCATGCTGTCTTCTGAAGTTTATACTCCGTTGGTAAGTTAGTGCAATGACGGCTGTCAGAACAATTGACGTACAAATTATACGAAACATACTGTACATCAAGTTCTTCGTTTTTTATAACTGACCGACCGTAGATTATAAATTTGTCTCACTAGCTACCACAACGCATCCTAAACGTCTTACGCAACAACTATTTATAATCCTCAGCTCGTTGAAGCAAGTATTTGGCAATTGCACACCAAATGTTTAAAAGTCAGGCAATTCGATTCAAATTACCAGGTAGATGATAAAATCTTGACAATGTGATCGATGGGTATTGTCATGCGCTTTATTGTTATTTCTGTTATAACCTGTGTCCTATTAATGTATGATGTAATGATACCTCCAATCCGAGGACAGTGGATTATCGACCGGACCAATGACGCACAAAGCCCGTACGAGTTTTTATCGGTCCTGCTTCCCACCCAGCCATGCCTGTTAAGCCCAGGACACCAATCTCAGCCTCTGGGATATAAATCATTCATTTCAAACATATTGGGTTTATATACCAACCATAAAGACCACACCGTACCATAAAATAGGAAATAACATTTGTACAAGATTTAGCCAAATGTGGTAAATTGTAATTTATAAACTGGGAATAACTGAAGAATGGTAAATCGTATAATAATAGTTAATAGGTCAAAATAAAGCCCATAATAAGAAGGACATGAATATGAGTAGTGTAGTCACTTAACGATTATGCGATAAAAATATGCGTATAGAATTGGTCCATAAATGGATCTAAAAAGTTTATTGTAGGTGTAATAGTGTGCAAAATTGTTATTAGTATTGTATGTATTTATCAAAGAATAAAAAATAGTGTTTATTAAGGTGAAATCCTTTAGGGCAGTTTGACTTACGCTTATGATTTACACCAACATTCCATAGTCTTTTATTTGTAAAACTATTTAATTTTTTTCATAGATAACTTGATCATAAATTTCGTGTACTTGCCATGCAATCAATTTTTAACTATTCAACGACTAACGACTTCATCCATTGAGCAAAAACTAAATAAGCCATTTTCTCTGAAAGTCAGTGTTGGAAATGAGATTTAGCTCCGAACTGTCATAGAGTTATGTGCTTTGCACGACAAAAGTACTATTTATTACATAGCTAAACCCATATTACGTATGAAAGACTTAAATTGTAAACCGTGCTACGAACTAGCGACCTAAATGTATTCAAATTGAAATTCGAAAATTCCCAGTGAAGAACTCTGTGGGATATTTCGAGAATATAAGTAGTATTCAAATCTACCCAAAATTTCCGGTGAATGTGACAAATGATTGTGGCGGGTTACATTTATAAGTAAACCTGCACGACTTGCTCTAATATTTCATTATAAAGAATACACCAATAAAACAGATCTCACCAATCTATGTAATACCATTACTAGTAAGAAGTAACTAGGATAGGTTTTATATGTGTTGATATTTCTGGCTGAAAATTTATTGTCAAAGTCTATTCAGGATGCATGTGGTACTGACCAGTGGTGAAAACAATCTTTTTTTTAGCTATTTATTCAAAATTACAAATATCTATCACAAAATTATTTTACAAGTATTAAATTGCAGAACTAACAGATGATGGCTTTACTTTAATCAGGTTTAGTATTTTCATGTACACGACCAATGCGTTCACAAATCTCCTCATCCAGTGTATATGCTGGATGGTATGCAATTCGTCCACTTTCCGTTATATACCTTAATTGTGGATTGGGATGAGTATCTTCCATACTTCCAATTGATGTGTATCTGTAATACAGAAAAAACACGGTAGTTTATTTAAAAATTGGTATACAAGTTAATAAAAAATGATAGAATTTAGGCTGAAATAAAAATATTGATAACAGAGGAAAATTATAGCTAATAAAATAAATGAAAGTGGTAATTATGTCATGTAACGGACTGAATTACTTAGACAAGAGTCAATCACTGGACCTAATCTTGGCGATTATATAGTATCGTTTTCACTTTGAGATTACAGGTATGATCGTCATTTATATCATATATCTGCACATTATGGTATGTAAATGGTGCATTACCACAACTAGGGCTTGAATAAACATTCGTTTACTAAACTTTGAATTTCAAAATAAACAATATTAGATAATTACCTAAATTTAGAAAAGTAATGGGGAGTCCGATTCTTTCTCTAAGAAACGAATGC